TAAAAAGTGATTCTGTTTGGAAAAAGTGACTTGGGAATAAGTTCCTGGATAAATACAGGTCCTATTTAGTAATAGAGACATAATTTAGAAGAAGTAATATTCAGTGTGAGAATGTGTATAATTCTTTTATTTCTGTCTCAGGGTGAATTTTTGCAGTTGAAAATATGCACACTATCGCCCCCTGGTGTTGAAAGCTATACTGATCACCGGCGCACTGGATAAAAATAAGTTTTTGTCTATTAGGAAAGCAAGACAATGCAATCATATTTGCTTATCTGAATTTATACTCAGAGTGATTAACAGAAAATCAATAGAGCAGACATAAGTCACACTAAAAACATCAAATGAACCAATAAAAAAAAAAAACAAGATACAAATGAAAAACGTATAGGATCAAATAAGAACAATAACATATTTAAATGCAACCCCGAGCAAATTAAATGATAAAGCCATTTTAGACTTTTCAAACACTGGTTTAAGTCTCGACTTAAATGAGTCAACATTTTCTCTTTCTCTCTGGTATTCAGGGAATTTGTTCCAGGAAGAAGCAATAAAAACATCTGCAGTCATTGTAGATTTCAGGATAAGAGTTCAGGTGGTGACGGATAGTTAAATAAATATGATAAAAAATTTAACTGATGATATCATACAAGTATGACTGCCTTTATCTTTTAATTAAAAATCTATAAAAGTCATAGCGACCCTGCAGAGAGATTCACTGAAATGGAGTTGGCAAAACAGTCAAGCTTTCAAGTGAAGAAGTTTAGATGTGTGTAAAACACATCTAGTGTTTGGGCCTCAAATATAAAGCGTCTTAATCTGATGGTTGTTGTTTGGCCGGTAGTTTGAAACAAGTCCTGAGAAGTCGATCCCAGTTTCCCATATTCAGGATCTTGACCATGACCTTTGCATCTGACCTTAGATGTTTCTGGGAAGAGTCCGACTCTGTGTCGTTTCATCCTCTATTCAATGTCCAAAAGGCAGAAATAAACTCTGCAGGCATAATTATTGTGCCTGCAACATTTTATTTTCTTTGTTTAGTTTGGTTTGACGATCCCCAACATGTTTTTTTCACTTGTCCTTATGGTTTGATTCTCTAATAAATAGATTTTTATTTTCCTAAAATGAATGGTGCTGATTACGTCCTGTTTGTCCTGATCTCAGAGTCACGTCTTTCGACTAGTGATCCCTCGTGATGTCCTGCCTTGCAAGCTTCGACTGGCCTTAATTGGTCTTTGTTACACACTGTTCTGATTTTTTAATGTCTTTGTTTCATGCCCGTTGGAGAAAGAGGACATCTAAAACTCCCACAGAATGAAACGTTTTCTTGATGTGGGTAGTAAAATTAACTGTTTCACTGCTACATCTGAAAAATAGAGTAAACTATTGTCATGCTTCTAGAGACTAATGAACGTATTTTGTGCTCATTTCTCACAAATTGACACACTTCCTTCAATTTTATTAAAAGGCCTTCGACATAATTTGCTTGAATGCTATAAATTACCTGACTTTTAAGCTATTTTATTTGAAAAATGTTTCCCCTCTCTTCCATGTGACTGATATTTTAAATATTTGAGATCAATATTTAACCACTTTAAAACATCAGACAAATTAATTTAGGTACATAAATGTCTTTTAGATATAAATTACTCTTAAAACACTGACATTTTTCTTATTTGCAAATAGGTGCTTGTTTCTATCAGTCTTTAACTTTTCCATCAAATCTCAAAGTAATTTTCAGTCCATTCTTCTTTGGTTTCTCACACTTTTACAAGCTGAACCTAAAGAAATGTTGACAAGTTCTTAACATTGAAACGTTTTATTTTCATTATGCTAAATTCATTGACAAATCAATATGCTGACACTAGTTTTATTAAACATTAAAAGTGGGATATCTGCCAAAAGCTAATAGTTCAGACACCCAAATAAATGTGTGCTAACAGGCAAGAGTCAATCTAGACTAAATATTACAAATATTAGTAATATTATTTATTAAACTGGACTCATCCTCAAACACCAAACAATGACATTTTGTTATCTTTGTTATTTTCTCAATAAACAATAAAGAAAAGTGTGAGAGATTACAGTGAATCACATCCAACCTTCTATTATTTTACCCTTCAGTTGTGTTTTTATTTCATTTTCAACTAAAATGCTTATGACTCAACACAGCATTTTAATGAGACAAACACGACTACTTATGACTGTGCACAAATTGATTCAGAATGACAGGAGACAGATTTTGAGAATATGACACAAACGGGTAAGAAGCAGCCTTTTGGTTGTTCATTGCTGAAAAAATGATCCATCCAGGATGTGTCTTATTGTTAGAACAAGCATCCGCTATTTAGAGGCTATTGTCCTCTGCACAGCTGTCAAGAGTTTGACCTTTGACCTCAAACCCTATTCTTTTTTTCCTCTTCTCTTTGCTCCTGTCTGAAAACTGAATCAAAATAATTATTTTGGTCAATTACAAAAATCGGAGAGCATATAAAAGGTTTATTTTTAAATATATAAAATGTGTACAATCATTTGATGTTTTTAATGTTTTATCTGATGTTTTTATCTTTTCTTTTTATCTTTTTATTCCTTTCTTTTTATTTCTCTTTCTCACTGTTTGCGTTTTAATGATGTTTTTTTTAAACTCTTTCTCACAAGCTGTTTTTATTTTAATTATGTAAAGCACTTTGAAATGCCTTGCTGCTGAAATGTGCTATACAAATAAAATTTGATTGATTGATTGATCAAATTAATTGAAATAAGCTTTAATCTGACATATGTAGTTGTTGTAGTGCAGATGATGCTAAATTTGATTCAACTGAATAAAACTTTTTTTCTCTCTTTCGACAGAGAAAATGACCCTTCATTTTAAGTATTTTGGAAATTTAAAATGATGTTATTGTATTAAAACATATTTACTCCTTTTGAAATTTTGAAGCAGACTTGAAAACTAAGATTGTCCACATTTAAAAAATGTGGCCTATGACAGATTAGGAAACTCTCATGGTTGTTAAATAGAAAAGTATCTTTTACTCAGCATGACTTATGAGCGATGAGTAACAAACGCTGCACCACAGAACGATGACTGTTTACTTTTACTGCATTATAATGGAATCTGGGTTATGTTCGGATTTTATTGTGAGAAACATCCTGACGAATGTGGAGAAATGTGTTAACATTAGCAGCCTTAAGAGGACCGTCTAACATAGAAAAGACTTAAAGAACAGTTTATACAAACCTGTAAGCAGGACAGTGTGAAATTCCTTTGTGTGGTGTTTATCCAGAATGAGGAAAAAATTATAAACATAAAGTACTTATTGAATAAAAAATGGGTCTGAAAGCAAACTGTTCCTGAGTCGACGTCATCCAGCTGCAAAAATCGTACAGGAAAGATCAAATTTGTGCCTTACTAAGCACAAACATTAAGGGAGAGATGGGAGACCAACTTACGCAAGAACTGAGTCAGAATTGGTCTGAGTTACGTCAAAAATAACCCAGTACAACTTCCAACAACAAATCTACATGTGGCATTGAAGAGGGTTCATTCCTACAGAGACTCATTCTGGGACAACATTCCTGATATTAAGTCAGAACAAAAGGTTTTCCTTTCCATTAGATTCCCAAATATGAGGAGACTTTGCAAATCTGAATACACAATTAATAAAATAGAAAGTACACAGCCATTATGAGAAAGTCTGACTACAATCCAATGTTAAAATGTTGTTATATTTCACAAATTGTCAGACACCAGTGTTTTATTTTACTTTTCTGTTAGTTAGAAGACATATTGACATGTTGCTTATACTTTATTAATGTTTCACAATCTTGCAAAGTACTTTTAAAAACACATCAGCATTCAAGGAATAGGAATTGGAATGGTGCGCTGGGTTGGTTCAAACATGTGAGGTTATGAAAGGCCTTATAGTTAAGGATTTTGATGCAAAGACATACTGCAATGGTAAGACAAAGACTCTCATGAGCTTTAAAAATCCAATAAACACTTTTGCTTTTGTTCTGTTTTCAAGATTTACTTCCACTGAACAAAAAAAATCTCCTCTGACTAAGTCAAGGTAACAGAAAGTAAAAGTGTGTGCCAACTGCAGCCGGGTGGCCAGCTGGTTGCACAGTCCATCAGTAATTGTTGCATTAAACCCTTTAAGCTCAGCAAAGATTTGCTTTTGAATTCCGTTGGTCCTTTTGCAAAACATGTTGCAGAAAGGAGACCTAATCCTACTTTAAAATGTGTTGAGAAAGGAGCTGGAGAGGAGGCAAGGAGAAAAGGTAGAGCTGGATGTCATCTGCATAGCAATGAACTTTGACACTGAAATTACAGACGATAATGCAAAAAGATATATGATCAATAAAAGAGGAATGAGGACAGAACCTTGAGAAAATGGGGAAAGTGTTGCCAGAGTGGCATAATTTAAATATTTAACTCATCCAGCAAATTTTATCTAAGACTGAAGTCAATGATGTTCTAAATCTGGATAGGGTTGTAGTCATGAGAAAGTAAATTAAATCAAATAAATGTACTGTTGTACTGTAATGGCCAATTTTGCCTTTTCTTTAGTGTTTTTTTTATTTTTTTTTTATTGTTTAACTTTTTATTCAGTGTTATATCTTTTAGAATAAAGTCTAAAGTCATTCCTGTTTTCAAATGGCAGTTTTAGTGCTTTAAGTGTTGGTATGTAAGGCATACATACGATTTTATTTCCAAGACCAACAAACTTTGCTCTAACACACTGGGGTATAGAACAAAAGCAAGAAATAACTTTCAAGAAGAGTGAAATGAATTGATCATTGACAAACTAGACACGCAAGTTTTTCGGGAACAACATCAAGGTTTTTTCCGCCAAAAGACTCATGGTTAGTAAGAACGATCCATTCTACATCCAGTAAATTACTACTTTCGTTTCTGGAATCAGAGGGTGATGAAGGAGGAGGAGGAGGAGGAGGGGGGGGAAGGAAGAGGAGGAGGAGGAGGAGTGTGAGCCAGAGTAGTTCATGCTTTGGATAATACGGATTTGATTGTGCGTCTGTGCGCACTTCATCGAGCGCAGGCGAACTTGTCTGTGAAAGTTTTACCCACTCACACACAAAGCGCAATGGCCAAACGTAAGCCCTGGCTGACGGCATGTTGCGTCCTCCTTATTGTGATTTGCGCTGTTGCTCTTGTGAGCCTGTGCATCTCCACGCTTCTTGGTGCGGGTTGCTCCGGCGGCAGATTCAGACATGCGGCTGTTTCGGCAGACTCGCAACTTTGCTCTGAGATCGGAAAGTAAGTGGCCTCCTTCCTCCTTTCTTGTTAAGACTTTAATGTGATCAAACTGATGCTAAAAATTATTTTTCATTCAGAATTTTCCTACCTGAATCTAAAAACGTGTTTTCTTTTATTCAATGACGGACACCTGAATTGAATCGGGCTTCGCCTCCTGGCAGAGGGAATAAGCAGTTTAAGAGATTTGATCGGCTCTGTGAGATTATAGCATAGCGCATCCAGGTCCTTTGATTGCTCTGAGCATTTGCCGAATCAATTCATTCAGAGTACATAAACACTGGCTCATGCTGTCGCTTATGTTGAAAGGTCTTGGCTCTGCTTTGGTTATTTGTCTTACTTGCAGTTGCGAGTCAATTAATCAGTCATCACTAACTTCAAAAGTGCAAAGGTTGTTTCACTGGAATGTGTGCGACTCTTCCTGCTTTTGTGCGCAGCAGGGGATTTTTCTTTCTTTTTATTTTTTATTTTGCCCTTGTGAGAATGTTTGTGGAGAGTTCATTTTACAGTTCAAAGCAGAGACAATCAAAGGTTCAGATGTGAGTGACAAAGAGATGAACTGAGCGGAAACTCTGGGACATTGGCTTGAAGTAAAAAGGTCAGTTTTGCACACATATAGAAAAAAAAATGTGCAAAAAGTATTTTATTAACAGAAGAGCAGCATGTGTCTCCGTGTGTAAAATAAACATTACTTTTGTTAATTTGCTGTGGTCTGCCTTTCCACAAAGTTTTTTAATTGCAATATTTTCTTTTCTTTTTTTTTTTTTTTTTAAAATTTTACAGGGGTGTCATCGCTGTCTAACTCACAACCACATGCCAGTCTTTGGTGCACCTTGAAACTCCTGCAAAACTTTTGAGTTGGCAAGATCTAAGCATTCCCAACGTTGCCTTCTCTTGCAGCTTAGGAGGCAAAGAGCAGTCAGTGCCAGCATTCGTGAAAAGATCCTTTATGTTTCCAACACAGACCGCAGAGTTGTTTTCTCTCTTTTTTTTCTGCTTTTCTAATGTCAGTCCAACTGAGGTGAAGAAATCCAAGCGTGACCAACGAGATGTATTTTTGCAATTATTACCTGGTCACTCTCATGAAAAGGGATTAACTTTGAATGGTTTTTCAGTTGTAAAACAAAGGACACCCCACTCCCCCAGAGTAAAAGCCATCAAATAACACATTAGTGTTTGCCGGTGGGTGTCCAAATGTGCGCGGAGCATCGCAGTCAGATTACTGGTTTCCCGTAAATCCACTGAACATTGTTTTCCAGGAACATGCTTCTCCAGGGCGGCTCGGCAGTAGATGGCGCCATTGCAGCTCTCCTCTGCACATCTGTGGTCAACCCTCAGAGCATGGGAATAGGAGGAGGCTCCATTGTGGTTGTCAGAAATAAAACAGGTGGATAGTCTGCATTTGATTTATTTTTCAGGACATGTTTTCCTTTGGATCGAACCTTTGAGCTATCACCACTTTTCTTTCTTTTTCAACTACGTGGTGTAGAAATAGTCATCAATGTCATATTTGGTCTTTATGTCCAAGGGCGTAGGAACGAGTCTGCCATTGGGGGGGA